CCACCTGGTCTTCCAGAAGAAAGTTTCAAAATAGGCATGAAACATACGAGGCACATTTAAAACCACCAGTTGATGCAACCACCCTAACGACAACAGCAGATATTTGTTTAAACCCACCGGTGCTTCCGAAAACCATCCTAGGACTATTCTTGTTGTCGGTCGACCTGGCATTGGAAAGACTCTCTTGACGAAAAAAATATTGCATGAATGGCAGCAGCAATCACTCGAATTCTGGCATGGTAAAATAGTAATTTTAATACGTTTTCGTAATTTTCAACAGGAAAAAACAAGTCTTCGAGAAATGTTGCGCCATTCTGATGGACTCAACATGTCATCAGCTGATTTCAATTGTACATATGAATATATTTGTTTAATGCCACGTAATGTTGTTCTTATTTTTGACGGACTGGATGAACTCAAGTTTGACAATGAATTTATAACTCAGGAAAGAACTGTAAATGGTCACAATGAAATTATGCATATATTCCAGATTTTTAAAGTGCTTATGAAACGAAATTTTCGCCTCATTTTTTATTGTTTGGCTAAAAAGTACTGCTAGAGCGATGAAGAATGACGTTTACAGTTTCTTCATATCTCATCTCATTCTCAAGTTATCGCACTTTCTAAATTTCGAGTTGTGACGTCACTAGTTTGACTTGAGATAATGGCAATAACAAGAAAGTCTAGTATCTTATTGAGTATTTAATAAAATTCAATGAAACTCGGTACACTTAGTGGGTGCACTCATATGAATATTTTTGGGAGGTTATATGGTTGTCATGGCAACACACTAGTCCCCAGTCTCTTCTCTTCTTTTTCACAAATTTCCCCTGTAGACCTCTTGCAGAGGATGTTTGCATGCTATAATGGTTTAAACTGATCACAATACCGATACGTATGATAGTAATAAGAAACAATTGCAGAAATTACCATTTATTTCGTTGGAAATGGATCATATAGAAATTGGAAGAGAAGGGACTGGGGACGAGTGTGTTGCCATAACAACCACATAAACAAGCCAAATTGTCCAGTTCGTTGCACCTACAAGTGTGCCAAGTTTCATTGAATTTTATTAAATAATCATCAAGATATCAGATTTTCTTGTTATTGCCACTATTTTGAGTCAAACTAGTGACGTCACAACTCAAAATATAGAAATTGCGATAACTTGGGAATGAGATAAGATAGGAAGAACCTGTAAACGTCATTCTTCATCATTTAAGCAATACCTTTTAATAAGGCAATAAAAAATGAGGCGAAAATTTCGTTTCATAAGCACTTTAAACAGCTAGTGGAAAGCGAACTGTTGCCCGATCTAACAGTGTTAGCTACATCACGACCAACGGCAGAACACATATATACACAATTATCATTTGATCGAGAGGTTGAGATCTTGGGTTTTCGTGAGGAACAAATAAAAGACTATGTTGAAAAGTTTTGCCGTAATGACATGGGCAAGGCTATAAAGATGTGGGATTTTATCAAGGAGTCACCAGAGCTTTTGAGCTTATGTTATATACCTGTTAATTCCTATATCATTTGTTTAACCTTAATAGAAAACATTGACGTTCACCAAATAGAAGAAGACGGAAGTCAGACTTTCCAGAGCAATGCCCCAGGAACAATTACAGAGTTGTACAAAAGAGCTATAAAGATTTTACTATTCAGGCACCATGCAAATTACAAAGATAAGCCAATTCCAAAAGATTATATTATCGCAAAGCTCCCAGGGCAGTTTCAAAAAGACTTGGAAAAACTCAAAGAAATTGCTAGAAATGGAATGATGAAAGATCAGCTGATATTTGAGTTTGAAAGTGGTGATAATTATGTTGCTGATTTATCATGTACTGGTATATTCAATAAATTGGAGGACAAACGACGTAACATATTCAGTTTTCTTCATCTAACAATTCAAGAGTTTCTTGCAGCACTACACGTGGTTGATGACATTGACAATGTTGAATCATTTTTAATTAAGCACATTGATAATCCAAAGTGGCATTTGGTAATCCAATTTGTTGCTGGCTTGATTGGAGATAAAATGAGAGAACTGAAAGAGGAAAGAAATACATCACAAAGGTATGGACAATGCCTATTATACCTTACAATAATACGAATCTTAAAAGATTACATACTTTGCAAAGTAAGCCTTAAAAGTGCAAACGAGTAATGATTTACAATCAGTAGTGACTTACCCGGTAAACCTCTTTCCCGGGACTTTTGTATGAGGACGAGGCGAGGCACGAGAAAGCCCTGGTCTGGGCCGGTCAATTTTGCATTCTGATTACAAGTTGAAAATAACAATTCAAAATGTGTATTTTTATGATTCTTGTGAGTACGAGAATGTTTTGCAAAATAATCTTTCGAAGTAAGACGTTTTCCCGACTGCATGATTTACTTTCGCCTTTGCTGGCTACAAAACATAAACGCAGTGTCGACGTGAGCCGTGATGTTTTCTGACAAAGCAAGAAACGTTTACTTAAGAAATAGAAAACGAGTCGCGTGCGTTTATAGTGTGATAATGCACGCGGGGAATGTTGGGAGAATACGAGAGAAGAGTGTAAAACACGAGGCGTAGCCGAGTGCTTTACACGCTTCTCGAGTATTCTCCCAACATTCCCCAAGTGCATTATCTCACTATAAACGCACGAGACGAGTTTTTCTATTTCTTTTATAATATAAGTAAGAGATATTATACTTAGTAATTTTACTCAAAAGATCGACGTTGAAATTCTCCTAACATGTACTCAGTGACGTCACGCGCATGCTTTTGCTGTCCCTTGAATTTTTAAGCGAGCGAAAGGGCAAAATTGCCAAAACATATTGGTATTCCTGTATCTTTTTCAAGTTTTTTCTCGGCTATTTTGTACGCTTTTCCCAAAACTTATCGAGACAACAACAAAATTCGACAAATGCCACGTAGAACTATAGAAATTTGCTTTATTTCTTTGGTCCATTCCTTCTTGCTTTCTGGTAATTTTTGTATTATAAAAGCTTTATAATTTTGTTTATATTTTTGGCTAAAAAGCAGTGATGGAACGGGGGAAAGCAGAGAAAGAGCAAGGCAGTGGCCGCAGATCACAGTGCATTATTGCGTCACAATGCACGAGCATTAGCCAATCGAATCGTCTGTTATATCATACTTATATTATAATATTATTTAAGTTGTAGTTTTCCTTGTACAGTATTTATAATGTAGTACAAATGTCTGATGAAATACTACGCGTATTGCATTGTAGTAATATTTTAATTTACAATATTCTGTACTGACAAATAAAAGCAACACAAACAATTAAATGAAACTACTAAATTAATTTAGGCTCCGTTTACTTAATAGGTCTACGCCTAGGCCGATGTAGTGTAGTCTCTACAAGATTCGTCACGTCACCGAGTTTTACAGTTTCAGAATACTCCGAATACTTGAAAATTGCGACTATACGATAAAATAAAACAAAGTTTGTGAAGGGGATAAAATTTGTAGGCAAGCATTGCTCCTGAACGGCAACTAGCGTTGGTGTCCGGCGAAACAAGCGCCGGAATCCGCATGGGCGTACCGGAAGGAAAAAATTAGGGGGGCGGCAAGAAAATTGCCCGACTTTTCGAGATTCTGCCCGACTTTTCGGGATTCTGCCCGACTAGGACCAAAAAAATTTTTCCGGAAAAATACACCGCCAAAAAAATTTCGGTCAGTGTACCATTTTAGGGGTCAAAAAAATTTTCCGGACAAACAATTTTTTCGGAGCATAACATAAATTTTCGAAAAAAACAAAATTTGCCAAAAAATTGAATTAATTTTAGACAAAATTGACAGAATTTGACCCATTTTTTTTTATTGCAAACCAAAATTGCCCGACTGTTCATCGAATATTGCCCGACTGCCCAAAAAACTGGGGGGGCTGCCGCCCCCCCCGCCCCCCCGCCCGGTACGCCTATGGCTCTCTCCAAGTGACAAGGCATTTTTTAATACCATGGACTGGTGGGGCATTTGCCCCACTGGGCCCCTTCCTCTGCCCCACCACTGAAGAGAAAATATAGCCTATTGCCCCAAAGCCAGGGCCCCAGGACCTGTATTGAGTAACTGAGTTTAACATTGAAAAGAACCAAAATTTGTTGACGAGCATGCTTAAACTTACGTTGTGTTTGAATGTTTAGCATGCAATTTATTACAAATTTCACCATTAAAACTTTGTTTTGAGAAGCTAAGATTTTTTTAAATGTATACTCAGAATGCAGGAAATTCTATTTCAGAGACCCAAATTTCAAAAATTTCCTGGGGGGGATGCGACCCCCTAGTTAACTCGTGCCTGCGGTACTGGGCTTACACCTCTGAAGATGGCATACTATCCTGGGGAGAGGGCAAAGAAAGTGGGCCTTTTGGCAGTTTTTAAATGCATTGCCAAGTGACCATTTGACGTTTTCACCTTTGCTGCACGGATGGCACAATCTCTCCCCGTTAAGAGTTCTTCAACTATTCCCAATGGCCATTTTCCTCTGTTTCTTTCATCGGAAGCGATGATTACAATTTCTCCCACAGACAACGTAGACAGCTTGCATTGTTGTGCAAAGTTTCATGTTGTGCCTCTCTCGTAACGCACGTAGATACTCGGTACTCGGTTTTCCACATATGATCTTTGCATGTTTTGAGATACTCGCTCGTTTTCTGAGGTCTCGATTTTCTTCATGGTGAGGTTCCAACTCAGGTAATACGGTAGTGCCAACGAACTGCAAACTATTGGACGTCAGTGTAGGTAACTCTATATCATCTTCCTGATATCCAAATGGGCGATTGTTTAAAGTCACTTCGATGTCCAACAGTACGTCTTGCAACTCGCTCCAAGTTAAACAGCTGTTTCCATTGGACTTGTATAGCGCGCGTTTTACTAGTCCGACGAGTCGTTCGAATTGTTCGTCCCGCGTCCGACGAGTCGGTCGAATTGTCCGCGACTCAAGTTAAACTGCCAATGAATTCAATGAATTTAACCATGTTGATGCAGCCTGCGTTATCTGAGTAATCTTCTCGGGTACGATCTCGCGGTAAGTTTCTGACTTGTGGTCTTGCTTCTCGTTTGGCGTGGAATCGTCGACACTCGAAACATTTCTTCATTAATTTCTTCACCAACTGTCTAAGCCTAGGCATTAGGCACCCTATATCGCTCACTAATTTTGTCATAGTGAAACCAACTCCCCCATGTAAAGTGCGCTCGTGAGCATCTTGGACCAACCTTTTGGTGTAGAGATGGTCATTGGGTAGATATATTGGGTATTCTCCTTGCAATCGACCGTTGCAATACTCACTCCATCTCCTTCATTCGTCTTTACATTAAGGCGTAGCTTGTCTTCGGTTGCTTGGTCCTTTTAGTATGATTGAGCTCGTTTTACCCAGAACGCGTGTTCGTTGTTGATTTCTTCAGTAATTAACCGTCCTTTGCGACGGTTTTCCTTACCAGCTCTGCAGTTGAACACGAATCGATGCACCCAGGCGATAACTCTGATGGCTTTCGTCAATGAAATCTTTGCGAGAAGGTCGTCAAACTCGAAACCGCGGCTGCACTGAAGATTTCTTTCACTGCTTTTGCTTCTGACTCGCTTTCGGGAGTGGCTGTTGTAACAATATCTGGAGGCCATTGATCCAGGGTTCACCAACAATTCTGGGCCGTTCACCAAACGCGATTTCCTGATACTTTGCCTCCTCTGCTTCCCAGGTCCGCTGGGTTAACATTGTAGGTACATGGCGCCAGGTGATTTAAGGATGCTCTTGGATCTTCTTGACCCGGTTTGCTACAAATTGTTTATACTGTCCACTACCTCGTAACTACTGTAATGTAACTGTGCTATCAAGCCAACCGAATGTGCATTCATCACTGGGACACAGAGAAGAGATATACAGAGAGGAAACTCGCGGCAAATCATGTCACGCCGATATATTCAGTCTATTAACTATATAAAATTATATTAATTCACTATTTTATTAAATTTTGATAATGCAGAGGAATAAAACTATACATATTATAGAAGTATTCATTGGTTTTTTATGCAAGAGTTATATTTTGAGGAATTTATGTCATTCGCTGCTTTGTTTTTTATACATGAGCATCTGAAATTCCTAGCCAGTGCATTTCACGATTTTAATAAGGAGTAGATAGGGAAAAAACCAACTTTTACAAAATAAAATGTTATGTTAACACTTTTAATAAAAGGAAATCAATAAAAGTGATCGCTTACCGTTATTCTACAATAACTTATTGAACAAAATTTCCATGGGTATCTCATTTTTTTAAAAAAGCGATTTTCACCTTTCGATTGGCGTTTTCCCTATCTTTTGCTATGAAATTTCAGCGACGGCACTGGCTGGGAAATTTTGCGTGGCGCGTGGAACGCGTGACACAAAAATTGAGGTTATCCAGTGTGAGTTTCCTCTCTGTATATCTCTCCTCTGTGACTGGGACATCATCAATTGCTTGTTGAACATTGGATACAAGATTCGCGGCCATGTGAGCAGACACAAATTCCAATCGAGGTATGGTAAGATCCTGTTTTGCTAACCGTGCTTTAGCAGCAACTAAACCAACGTTAACACCCGACTCTTGTTTCGTAATGGCATCATATGCCGCAGCAGAAACTCCCTTTTTGCTTGCGTCACCGAATGCATGTAGCTCGACTTGTCTACGATTTCCTGATGACCTGCTATGGATCTAGGGACAGTCACTTTTTCGGGGAGTTCTTTCACCCATTGTAGGTATTCACCAGATAGCGGTTCTGAAATCTTCACATCCCATTGTACTTTCTGTTTACAAGCCTCACGGTAGATATTCTTGGTCCAAGTCCATATATTCTCGCAAGAGTTCTCTCTCCGAGTCTTCGTTACAAATGTTTCCATTTTTGGAATCACTATGCTGATTTCATCTTCTTGCTTGTTCCACGCTAAATTAGACCAAGCAGGCTTGATTGGGACTGGTTAAATCTGGTTAGCTGCTGTTTTGCAAAGGTTTGATCAAGTTCAGCTTCCACTTCGTTCATGTCCCGTTCCAGTTTCACTTCACTCTTTTCGCATTCAGGTTTCAGTTTTTCGTCTTCTAGCTCTGGTTCGTTCGAGTGCCATTTATGGAAGGTAAACGTGGCATCTTCGAAGATCTTTATGGCACCTTCTTTTAGCTCCATTGCACTGGCAACAGTTGGTTTCCCACTTAACAGATCATCAACATAAAGACTTCGTCGTATGTCAGCAACTAGCTCTGGTTCTTGGGCTTAGCAGTTGTCCAGGTGAGAACAAGTTAAGCCAAAAAGTGCTCTTGTGAATCTGAGTGTCTCTGTAAGCCTGTTGGAGAATGTTCAGTTGGCTTCCAGTAGAATATCAAGGAATCTCTTTCCTCTTTCTTAATCCTCACTTGTAGAAAGGCTTGTTTCAAGTCGCCAGGCAATGCAACTGGATGAAACCGCATTCGTGTCAGGACGTTCCACAGCTTGTTCTGGAGCGGAGGTCCGGCATACAAACACTCGTTGAGACTAGGGGATTGTAGGTTTTCTCGAGCAGATCCATCATACACCACACGAAGCTTTGTCGATTCTGCGCCTGTTCGCACAACAGGTTTGTGGGGAAAGTAAAACTCCTTGGATGTGGTGAGTTCATCACTCCACTATTCCCTCCTTTTTTGTTATTCGATTATCTTGTTGTATTCACGAGTGACTTACATTTTCTCTAATTTGTTATCTAAGCGAAACTCAGCATGCACAGTCTGTTGATCGTGCTCGCGTCTATCTTCCAGGCCAAGTATACCTAGTCGACACAAATCCTCATAGTCGATATGGCTCGTCTGGGTAAACAACATCTTCGAAAGATCCAACTCCTTCCCTGAAGACGTCATAGTCCAGCCGAACTTAGTTCTCTCTGTCACAGGCTCTCCGAGTTGACCGAAACGTGGTGGTTCCGCCGTCTTTATTGCTGCATACAGTAATCACTCGCCCCGAGAATCAGGTGGACTGGCAAAAATGGTTTGAGATCATTATCCACCGTGATGACTCCTTCAAGATGCTTAAATGACTGAATTATCCACCACAATGAACACTGGGTCAACTCCGTGGGTAACCCCATAGGCACCGGCGGGGAGTCGATGGCTGTTCCACCATGATACTTTGCCAACAATATGTTCCGGGTGATACTTTGCCAACAATACACGATTTAAGTTTTCGCGACCCTTCTCAGTTCCGAGCAGGGGAATTACATCATCACACGTTGATGAATGAGAGAAGCTTTTGGATGTGGTCCCAAATCTGAACAACTCCAGGTCCTCGACTAGATACGTGGAAAAGTATTGGTTCTCCATTAATATTATTTTCGCCCGTACTTTAAACGAAAATTTTATCGGTTCAGCTCGTCCATCAGTTTCGCAATAATTTCTCCTGCCGCGCTTTTGTTGAATTCATCCGTCGCACCTTATTAGATAGACATGGAACAGTTAAAAGCTCGTGTGCAACCGAAACAAGAGAGTCCATTTTTATCGATAGACTGGATCGTCGTGTTGGTCATATTAAGGAGAGTATAAAATCTCCTAACCATACCCCAACACAACGTTTTATTTTAGCCCAGGATCAAGCATATTTTAAAGCGGTATTCTTTAGTTGGGATAGACCGGGTCATAGTTTAATCATGTTTGGGGCAGAACGCCCCACGATGGCAGTTCTAATATCTTTGGTATAAAGCGCAATCCTCAAGCTAGCATTTGCCCGGTACACGGTATTGAACAGTACATGGCGACAGCGAAGTAACCTAAGATAAATTTGAAGAATGGATACCTATTTCGTCCCACAAATCCCCAAGGAGAATATAGTTGATGCGCCAATCCATTCAGTTCATCCGCTGCAGAGGCCAGACTGAAACATATTTCAACGAGATGGGACATTACGACGGTGAAACGCTCCACGGTTTTCGCGCTGACTGTGCCATTACTCTTGCCCTCTCTGGCGTTGAGCTCTCCGAGGTAATGGACCATGTGGGGTGGACGCAGCGTCATACGGCTCTTTATTATCTCCAACTCGCAAAAGTTCTCAACCCTGCTGGAGGGGCGTCGGACCGCTTGGCGCAGGTGGATTTAGCTGGAGTCATGAAGGACTAGGCTAATGTCAATGAGCTTAGACAATCGTATCCGCTTTCCCGAGCGCACTTTATGTGCAATATATCATTGGTTTTTGGGAGTCAGATTTGGGGTTAAGGTGTGGAGTTAAGGTCGGGGTCTGAGGTGTGGAATTAAGGAGGAATTTAAGTTTGGGAGTATAGGATTGGGGGATCGACAATATGTCGTGTGTTAATCTAATAGCCTGGCCTTTCGGGCGCTGTTCTGGGCTATAACCTTGCGGGTCCTGGAGCGTCGAGATCAATGCTCCTATACGTAAGACAAAGGGATCGGTGCAAGTGAGAACATTGTGAATAGAATACTGTGCGGAACCTTTTGAAATATTACCTTGCAACTTAACAAACTGCACAGAATAATAACACAGCTCGATTCAGCTGACGTTCGTTGGCGAGGGTTGTAGAGCAATAAGAACGTCTAGCGTCTCCGAAGGGGACTAAGCTTGGGGTGAGTCTAGTTGAAATAGAGCCTGCACTTATAGCCCAGCATGATTTCGCCTACAACATGATCTCTTAAAAAGTGCTCAAATTAAGACATAGCCTTAATTTGAACCCCGACCCTACCCTCTAGCTAACCCTAATCTAAGCTTAATCTGACCCTAATCTAAACCTATCCCTAATTTTATTCAGGACATTTTTCCATAACCTTTGAATGAAGGAATGTAAACTTTTGCAAATCTACTGTTTTCGTCCCAAAGAAGAAGCCTAAAAACTTGTTTTTGCTCATATTAATAATTTTTGAAAGAAATTAATGAAGGAAAATAGACCCAGCCAGGATCATTGCCCACAGCGGGGGGAGGGTCGGTACCTATCTATCTGAACAGGCTTTGTGATTCGTGGATTATGACAATAAATTACAAAAACTATAGAAATCACATTTCTAAACAACGAATCAGAAACACTGATCAATTTTGTTTCAGAAAACCAATCACAAAATGTGTTCATATTAGGTAGGTACAGTACGTACTTACCCTAACCAAAAGGAGAATAACTGAAGACAATTACGAGGTTTCTTTCGCTTTGCGTCAAAACATTCAGGAATGCGACTGCATTCTAACGTCTAGCCTGCAATGGCAGGCGGTATTTCTACGGGCAGGGAAAATTAGGGAAGCAAAGGAAATACCGTCTGCCGCAAAACTAGGGGTTTTTGAATTACCCGTCCGCTGGTGAACGGGAAAAACGGATTGGTTAGTATTTTTATGTAGTTGTCAATCAACGGCTAAATTCGGTTAAATGTTAATCATTAACCAAATGTTTTGACGTTTTGAAACTCTGCGTTTTGAAATTAGTTCACGTCGAGTCAGACCAGAAATGGAATAACATAATAAAAGAAGCAAATTAAAAGATACAAGCTGAAAAATAACACTCTATATAGTGTTTTTGATAGAGATTCGAACAAGAATATTTAACAAAGAAGATACGTCCGAAGGGGCCGAAGTTATGATCGGCGAAAGGTATGGGCTAGTCTATATTTTCGTTCAGACAATTACATGCGTATTAATTTGATAATATACTATCTCGCTTGGCTTTCAAAGGCCATAAATCGCAATAATGTTGACATTTTACTAAAACTATCGATAGAAATTAGGAGATATTTCTTCACTGAATCGAACAGTGGGATTTCCATATAGGCCTATCAGTCATGTTCTGAGCCTGAGGTCGAATAATTGTTTTAGTATATTTTAACACAAGAATGATTAGCTGACGTTCGTAAGGTTCAATAAGTTTGGTTGTTGACTGATGATGAATCTATAGTATAGACTTGCATGCTTTGTATTTTGAGCTTATTAAACCACCGTTTTAAGGCAGCTAAACGGGCTTGTTTTATATTAACACATAAAATAAATTCCTTGATTCTCATCACTAGACACAGTCTACACTTTGAAATATCGAAGACAGTGGGAGATTTATTTTTTATATTTTATATTTATATAATTTATATATCAATAGTTCGTATCTCCACGAACAATGACAGAATGACTGGGTTTCTTTAAAATACAATGAAATTTCATCAAAATTCTGTTTGTTTCAAATTGGAAGTTTAAAATGGCAATAAAAACTCTATATAAAATACGAAAAAATTAACTGTCTTGAATTATTTTGTTGGGCGGTACATTTATATTGTATAACTAAATATAAAACGTTTTCACGAGGATTTTAAAATTCAGTCGGGCGGTGATGAGAATCAAGGAATTTATTTTATGTTGGGCAGTTGGGACTTGGGAGCAGCTTGGGAGTGGCTAATTTTGAATATTTACTTAAGCATCTATAAATAGCGTTGATGCTTCAGGGGCGGTAGTTCATTTACACCCAGTTTTGCGGCAGGCGGTATTTCCTACGTACCGCCTGCCATGCAGGCTATCTAACGTCGTGAAATGCCATTTTGGGAATGGCGACATAACATCTGATTGGCCCGCAGGAAATTTACTGATAATTAACAATTATTTGCCGAAGGCGAGGTGATTATAGATGAATAAAAACCGAGACAAAGTCGAGGTTTTTATTCACGATAATCACCGAGCCTGAGGTGAATAATTGTTTTAGTATATTTTCACAAGTGATTATTTGGAAAAAATAAAAATATATATATCTTTCTTTGTCATGTAATTGACAAAACGGCTTCGCCACCATTTCGAAAATCGCTTAGATGATTATCGCGTTATAATCACCTCAACGGCAACCAATGAGCGTGGAGAATTTTCAATAATCACCTATGTAATTATACTAATAGCTAATAATAGTTTGATATTTTAACAGTCATAGACATATGAACGTACATTACTCGCAATCCTGATTGTTTTGACAGAAAAACATCAAACGTTCTCTCGCGCAAGTTTTGGTAATAATAGGATACAAAATGGCGGAACTAACAACTGAGGTAAATAAATTATTCTAGGAGGCAAAAAGACGAAGCTGTATGCATTGAGCCTGCGTTGGAAAGTCATACATTGACTGCTGAATCGGCCAGAGGAAATGAATGAAAACATGGTGTCACTGGGCGACGAGGAGTGGAAGAAACGTTTGAACGACTCAGGATATAAGAATTGGCTCAAGGTTTCTCTTGCACTGATTGAGTCAAAAGAAGCTCTTCATGACTTCACTGAAAATGTGATTGTCGTCCTTCATAATGATATTAAAACCAGGCTAGGCTCGGGAAAATGCACTACGCCGTCTGCTTGCAACATGAGGAAAGGCGGTGGTATTACTGGGAAATCACCACCTTGCCCTAGCTGTGCCCAGTGGGTGATTGAAATAAAAAAGCAAAGCAACGGGCAGCTACAATGGAAAAATGCAGACCCAACAAAATGGCACAACCTTCCTTGGGAAATTGCGAAGTGCTTTATGAATGCCCAGGGTGCAAAAGCCACTGCAGCTGCAAACACAGGACCTGATACGACTGACCTGTCTGGAATGTTGAATATTCTTGTTAATTGTAAAGAAATCACACTTAAGCATTTAAAGGATAAAAAGTTGCCTAAAGACGTCAGAAAAGTGAGAAATGATCTGATGCATTGTGCGACAATGTCGTTCAGTGATGCAGAGATGCAGGGCATGGTTGATAAGGTCATTGCACTTCTTGAAGATTACAAGGAATTGAAGCATTTGAAAATCTGCCAAGATAAAGTCAAATTAATTAAGTCATTAAGAGATAACGAGTTTGAGCTGAAGACGAAGGACGAACACGTATGTATTGAGACTGTATTAGAAAGTCATGCATTGGCTGCTGAATCGGGAGATGAAGTCGATAAGAGCATGATATCAAAGCTTAGACAATTTATCAAAGAAAACAAGGACCTGGAAAGGAAGTTTGATGATAAAGTCAACAAGATTGATGAAAAACTGACAAATATGAAGCACAAGTATGATGCTGAGATTTCAAGGGTTGACATCGATTTAGGTGAACTCAAAGGAAGAATAGAATTCCTTGAGAAGAAACTTGCAAGTGGACAAAGTTTTCCTAGTGACAATCCTGCAAGTAAGGACATGAGATCAAGTCATTTTACAAAAGTGCTCTAAACATCTATACCCAGAAGAAAAAACTTGACAAACCAAAATATGATACCAATGAAACTGAAGAGAAGATGTTTGTCAGCATAGTTCTTTTTGATGGAAAAGACTTTAAATCTAAGCGAAAGCCATCAAAGAAAGAAGCAGAACAAAATGCAGCGGAGGAGGCACTAAAGTTTCTAGGAAATGAAGAAGTGGAGGTTTCCAGTGAGACGAATGAGTCCCAATTAGCTGAGCATCAGGTCATGGATAATACGTGGACTCAACAAAGGGACAAAAACTACAAAAACATGCTACAAGAAAAAGCACAGAAGCAGAAGATACCATACCCTATATACTTCTACAAACAGACAGACACTGGGTTTTTGTCTGAAGTCATGTATGATGGTAGAACGTACTCGCCAGATATGAGTCCACAGAATAAGAAGATTGATGCTGAACAGAAAGCTGCCCAGTTTGTGTTGGCTTACTTGGACAGGTATTTTATATAAAATACACACATTTTATAGTCTTATATACTGAAATGCATTAATTATTCAGGTTTGAACACTAAGATCAAATTTTGTTTGGCTAATTAAGTTTGGCTAATTTAATTTAAATGTGGAAAGAATATTAACTGAACATATTTAAATTATGAAGATCGAGTCTTAAAATATGATGTCAAAGATATTTTGCTATCTAATTTTTTACATCTGTGCTGGTGCAAGTGGCTAAAATGCTCTTATAGTGGCTTCAGTTAACTTTTAACTTGCACGTATACATGTATAGCCAATCAGAGACTATACTATTACTAAATGAAGGACCTAAAAGTATGTACATAAAAAGCATAAAATATGGCGTTGTGATGCAAGGAGTGAATTCGTTAAAAAACCAAAATTGAACCCATTAAGTTGCAATGCGCCCAAATTCACACATCTTTATTATTTACTCTTTCTAACGCAAGATGATTTTACTCGTCAAGGGAGAGTCTTGTGCATTAACCAATACACCCTTTCGATAATTACGTATTACGTCACACATACTTTTTGGTCTTGGAGCCTCGCTCTCATTAGTAAATTACGCAAGGTGATTGGCTAACGATTCATCCCAGGCCAAATGACGTAATTATCGAAAGGGTGTATTAAGCTACCTACCAAATGTCTTGTTAACCCATTAAGCTGCAATGCACCCAAATGCGTGCACCTATTTTATTATTTCACTCTGTCTAATGCCAGATGTCGTTTTACTGATCATCAAGGAGAGAGTCTTGCATATTAATTGTTATGCAGCTAGTCCTTGAACTAAACTTAATTGTCTAATTTCTGGTCACGTGGATTTAGATAAATTGTGTCAACAAAAAACTTGTTGCCCGTTCTGGTTGGCTGCACATACATGAATATATGCTCAAAATGGAGTCAAAGGACGTTTTTGCCGTTACGAAAAGAACACAGAGCTGCTGAAAACCATCTTTAGCAGGTTCTTTTAAGCCGGTTACAGACGATCAAGTTTTCTATGACAAGTTTTTATGTGACAAGTTTTATTTGCTCATCTGTTCGCGCAACTTTGACAATTTTTTCTATGACAAGTGCACTTGTTCAAAAGCGAGCATGCTAGCTTTTGAACAAGTGCACTTGTCACAGTAAAAATTGGCAAAGTACAAATTTTGCTCGTCTGTATGGGTCAACAAAGAAAACTTGTCAAAGTAATCCGAGCACTTGCATGCAGTTGGTCAGCGATCTATTGTTGTAATGGGTAATAATAACCATCGGCATCGTAGCCAGTCAGAAAACCAAAACTTGTCATATAAAATTTGTTGCATATACACACGTGCACTTGGCAAATAAAACTTGTCACATAAAAACTTGTCATAGAAAACTTGCTCGTCTGTAACCGGCT